TCCGTTTCCTTTAAATGTCGCCACGTTGATGTTGCAACGCCACGAGACTGCGACAACGGTATATATTGTACGAATATTTTTATATATTCAAGTAAAGTATTTGAAAAATTAAAATCTTATTAATCTTCAATACAAATCTGAATAAATTAAAATAATAACAATGACGTTGTCGTTAAACTTCAGTAAGTTCAATTGTTATATCATTATTTTTAATAGATCCTATAGATTCATAAAGAAGTCACACACATATTTTTGAAATTATTAATTGTCCACTACGATATAGACTGCTATTTTCAGGAAAGAAGAAGGTTCACGATTGAAATCTTCAACCGTGGAGGTCATTCAAATAACCTTCCTCGGGTTATAGAAATTCAATAATGTTACAGAAATCGTGAGAACCAAAACAAGACCAAGAGAGGGAAAGAGAAAGAGACAAAGAGAGAGAGAGAGAGAGAGAGAGGAGGGAGGATAGAGAAAGATAGAAAGAAAATACACTGTGCGGTTTCACAGGCATTGAATTTCCCAGCACGATGATATAAATATAATAACACTAGTCACGTTCGATTTCATTCGAAAGTAGCATCGATCACATATGTACTAATGTGTGTGTATATATATATATATATATATATATATATGTGTCAGAGAATTTTACGAAAACGTTATCTCCCTCGAGAAGGGACATGCATTCTAGCCCCTCGACGTCGTTTCGAAATAGCGAAACAGATCTTTTTTACTGCTATCCTTATTTTCCTCTCCGTACACGTTTCTTGGGAGCCGAGATTCGTGGACTCCTTGTCTTCTGTCACGGCTTACAGATTTCTTTTATTTTTCTTTTATACTTTTTTTATTTCTTTTTTCTTTCTTTTTTTTTTTTTTTAGTTTTTTTATATTTCTTCTTTCTTCTTTTTTATTTCTCATCTTCACCCCGATCGTACGACTACGATATATATATATATATATATATATATATATATATATATATATATATATAAGTTTCTACATATTTCTAAGCACGTTTTTGGTGACACATGGAAGCTTAAAATCTTATTCTACATAAATTTCCTATTTTCTTATACGTTATAGATTATAAATAGACTTCATAATTTTTTACTTTTATATTTTAAAATCGCGTTATGATTATTATCTTTATTATTATTATTGATATATTAAAATATCTTTATAAGTTGTTATACAACTATAACAATGAATAAGATATATCTAAATCGTAATTTTTTTCCGAAAGTTATAACAATTGTATAAAAAAAAAAAAGACGTATCAAGTATAGAATTAAAATCTCATAGGAATATAATTTTCAGTAAATCGAGCATAGAAGAAGAGGGTGTGGCGGATCTTAAATGGCGGTGTCACATCCATTACACGTCTATATATTTTCCGGTCTCCGGTTCGTCCTACCTTCCTTCGTGCAAGATTTCTCTTCTTTTATTTCCTAAGAGTTTCCGTGTTCTTTTCCGCTCATCGTCTTCTCCTTTTCTCGTCGGCTGATGCCAGCTAGCAAGCCAGCTAACTGGCTGCTAGTGCTGCTGCTGCTACTGCTGCTGCTGCCGCTGATGCTGCTACGCGGCACAGATGCCGGCAATATTACTTGCTCTGGTCCCTTTTATGGATATTGCCACGCGACTCTGCTACTATATCTTTGCGTTCGTATGCTCGTATATGTAATAGTTTAATAATGTATATATACTGCGACAACCTTACTTTACACACACATACACAATTATATATAAAAGCTGTATAGCTACTTTCGAATAAAGTAACACGAAGTTTCACATGAAATGAGAATATGAAGATAGCTTTCTAAAGTAACAATGATATTCCATTGATAGGGTTCATTTTCTCGATTTATTTTTAACATAAGATACAATTTTTCAAATAATTTTATATGATATAATACAATTTTATTATTTTTCGATTGGATATTCAATAGAAATATTAAAAATTTTATTATGTAAATTTTTGCTCCGTCGATTATTTTTTTATGTTCTCGATTTTTTTTCTCTCGTTAACGATACGATCTTTTAAATAGTTCGTTAATAGGCTCAATTGGTCGATGTCATTTCGTTAGATATTCAACGAGAATATTTGCAATTTTATGAATAAATTTTTGTCTTTCGAAGTTTTGGTCGCTTCAAGATTTTCTAACACTTTGTAGTCCTTTACTACAGGGGTGAGACGATACTTGATTATCCCGACAACTTGCTATCTCATGAATATTAATAACTTTTTCTTTTTCATTTATTTAGAGAATCTAAATTGGGGATTTTTAATTAACAGTGATAGTTAATAACGTTAAATCTCTTTTATATACATATACATATATATATATATATATATATATTATATTAAGTAATATTATATTAATAAATATAAATATTATATTAAGAAACTTTCCGTTCCTATAAGAAAAATTTTATATTATCTTTGTTCTTAAAACGTAGTATCTTTTTTCCTAGCTATAAGACGAAATTTTCTAAGATCCAAAATAAAACATTGAAGCATGTAGAAGTATACTCGAATATTAATCAAACAGCAACGAGTACAATTTGTACTTCAGGAATATAAACTAAAGGAAGAGTGTCCTCTTACTTGTTGTCCATATCTTTTACGAGCGACTTCTCGCGAACAAGAAGATACGAGGAGCCGTCCAGCGGAGACAGTAAAAGACTAATTGGCACTTTACGAAGAAGATTATCTAAACAACTTATAATAATCGTTTAGAGAAGGAGACACAATTTTTCTCGTTAAATCTCTTGACTCGAGACGGAAGAGGTTGGATATGATCGTAAAAAAAATTATGTCGACTGCAGCTGGTAAAAACCCGAGGTCGAGTATAAAGGCAAAAAGAAAAAAAAAAGAAAAAGAAAGAAAGAAGGAAAGAGAGTGAAAGATAAATTCAAAAAGAAAAAGAAAAGTTTTATAAGTTCTGGTAAACGATATTTTTAATACCACTTTCGTGTTAATAGTTTTTTTTATGATTTCAAGGAAACCCTTAAAAAAGATATATATATATATATATATATATATATATATATATATATATATATGTACGTATATATGTTTTTAATGAAAATGTAATAAAGATAGGATCATGTAGTACTTCTCGAAACTTTTTAATTATTCTTAATACTTTTTAAAGAGATCACAAAATAGATTAACTTTTTATAATTATCTACGGACACTTCGATAACCTCCTTTTGCCATCTTTATGTTCTAATATAATATTCATCATGGAAATTTATGTATATTTAATTAGACGTATCCATCGTTATTATGCATATAACGTCCATTTTCATACTTTGTAATTTTTTAAAGTAAACGATTTACTTATTCTCATATATAATAGTATTTGCAGAAAAAAAAAGAGATTTATTTTCATGTTTGTTCCGATATATACAGATATAAACAATTTATGTTAAATTTATATCTTCCCATATAGAAGCTCAATTTAACGAACTCATTCGAACCGATCGTGCATCTTTAAATGTATACCTGTGAGTTTGCGAGAAGCTCTTTTTACGAATCACAGGATACGCGCACTATCGATCGTTCCCTCTCCATTGAGCTTCCTCTGTCTCTCCGTACCTCATTTCACGACGTGACTTCTACCAGCGTGCAAGGATAGGATATATGAACAGAGTTGAATGCAAGAGAGTGAGAGATAGAGAGAGTGAGAGAGAGAGATGTCATCGCAAGTGCATAACTTTATGAGTCCGTTATCCACCTTTCGACCCCATCATACATTAAAAGTTATCCAAAAAAGCGTAAAATTAACTCTAGACAATTTTGATTACATTTTTATGCAAATTATAATCGTAAAAATTGGTTCAATTTATGATTTAATAAGCTCTGATAAAGCTGTACTGTGATAAATTGTGATATCAAAGATTTTTATTTTTTTTTTATTTTTATTAGAAATTAATTTGAATATTCTAATTTTTTAGTTTTTTATTTTGTTTTTTTTTTATGAGGTTTATTGTTAAATCATAAATAAAAAGATCTCTAAGAAGCTAAAACACTGAATCATCTTTTTCTCTTTTTTTGTTATCGTTCGAAAATAATTTTTGAAAATATTAATTTTTCAAGGGACTCTCCAGCATTGAATCTATAAAAGAAAAAGGTCTGTTTAACGTTCTTTTTTGTCATTTGAAAATAATTCTTTGAAAAACTTTTGACATTGAAACTGAGTTAAAAAACAGACAGATTTATTCTTTGATTTAGCTAATTGAAAATAATTTTGAAATGTCTGATTGTTCAAGGATTCCGATATTGAATTTACAAGCAAACAAATCTTAGAAACTTGAACCCAGACCAGTCTAAGCATAGCGAAACATAAGATCGATTTTCCCGTAATTGTGCTTTTACCTTGATCACTATTTACAACCAAGTTTCGCATTACCTTGATTATTCGCATCTCGATTCGTGGCCGGTACCGAGCCGTACTACGAGTTGTACGAGGTGTACTATATCGGGAACGCGATAGCGTAGAGATAGTACACGGGCTCTATCTCCAGCGAGGTATCTTTCGACGTTTTATCGCCGTCGTAATTCAGCTCGAGACAGCTCGCGAATACCTTGGGCCTCAGCCGGACCAATTTACTGCACTCCGTTTTGTCGATACTCCTGCACGCATCCCGTACTCTTGTTCATTTCCGAAACGAGTATTGTTTCTTCTAATCCAGGAAATAAATAAATATTCGATAAGAAAGACAAACAATTCTATTTTTTGTCTCAACGGATTACGTCTCTTTAATTATGTAAATAAACAAAAAAAAAAGAGAATAGACAAAGAAATATAGATATACATTTTTCTTCTTTTTTTTTTTTATAAATTACTTAAAGACAAATTATGCATTTATATAAATAAATAAAAAAAACGTAAGTATATCGAATTTTTTACACAATTCTTATTATTTTCTTTACAATTTTTTCTTAATTGAAGTTTAATGATCGATAAACGTGTCATTCGGTTCATTTACAGATTCAGAACAATCACCGGCCGTTTATCTGAGAGACGATCCATTGTTCGGTACATTGCAGTTGCAACAACACAGTGAGCTCCGAGCTCCAACTGCGGAACGTGCAGCTTTTTATCTCGACGCAGCAGTTGCCGGTCGTCAACGAGAAGATGGAGATGCTCACATGCTCTATACTTTACACGTGTATCAGTATAGCGTCGCTGGCAAGGGTGGTGGTACGTAAGCTGTTATAAATCTATCAAAAATATTATATTGTTGTAGCTAAAAAAAAAGATAAATCGTCTTTATTCATTTAATATGATCTACTGACTGAAAACATTTTCCTGCTAGATATCGGTAGTGAATTTTAAAAAATATACCAAGAATTCTATATAAATATACTCTCACTATCATAAATATTTTCTTCATCATTTACGTCAATCAAATTATTTCTTTCAAAAATTTTCTATTACTGTTAAAAAAAATGTCAAAATTTTCTAAATAACTTTTTTCTAATTTTATCATCGATGAAAAATATTTTCAATCCGCAAAATATCACACAAAATTGTCATCGCATCATTAAAGCAATATCAAAGTAAACTGTGCATGCTTGTAAGTTTAGTGACGATAAATTATGGTTCATATACTATTATGAATGCGGTAATAACGGCTCTTATTAAATGCAAAATGTTAATTAAAAATTACAATGGAGTCATTATTTTTATTTCACTTGAAAAAGAAAAACGAAAACTGAGAATAATATTAAAAATTACATTAACGTAGTTCGGTAGAAAAGAAAGAAAAACTTTTCAAAATATCTTAAAAGACGAATAGTACGTGATATAGAAAGATAATTTCATTAACTTCGTTTAATAGTCGCCGGTGGTAGAAGCAGACTACATCTCATGGACCTTGGTAATTCCGACCGTGGCAAATCGTCCGGTGGAATACCACTTTCGGGTCTGGGAAATATTCTCTTAGCCATTTTCAACGGACAAAAGCACTTGCCGTACAAGGAGCATAAGCTAACCCAATTACTGAAGGAATGTCTCGGCTCGTTAACGTGTCATGCGGCAATGATCGCCCACGTATCTCCGAATGCACAACATTATACCGAGACTCTAACGACCGTACAGTTGGCATCGAGGATTCATCGAATGAGACGTAGGAAAATTAAGTTTGTAGGTGGTGGTACGCAGGGTACCGGAAGTGGTGGTAGCTCAGGCGAGGAAGCAGCCAGACAGAACAGCGAATGTGATCCAAGTTCGAGTGATCTTTCAGCAGATACTGTAATCTACGTTGGTCCATCTGCCGATGACGCAACCGATGGAGAACATCCACCGGTTTACATTCCAAGTTTGAATTCCGGTGACAATCGTTGTGCTATGGGTAGAGTTCTTCGTGGTTCAGCAGCTGAGAGACCTAGTAAGATACCTGAAGAAAGAAGTCCGGCACATAAGGCTACGAAAATAGCGAAAACTTTAACACAAACAGCTTCGAAACAAACTTCACCTGCTCACAGTGCTACGCCAAAAGCTAGTCCAGCGAGAAAGATATCTTCGAGCAAGGTTTCGAGTTCAAAGGTAACTGACTCGCCGAGTAGTAAGATTCCGGTAGCCGCTTCGAGTGGTGCTTCGGATGAGCAATGGATAGATGGTCCAAGAATTTCAAAATCAAAGGTTGCCGAGGCTAGACATATGTTGAAAGATTCTCATCATAAACGAGAAACTTGGATAGACGGACCGATGCAATTGACTGGTCCCCCTCTGTTACCACTTCATACTCAACAACAACATTCGTCCGGCTATGGATTTATGGATAGCCATAAGAAAAGTATGATAAGGAAATGGGTAGAAAATCAGTCGTCCCAAATTCAAAGATCTAAACACGCTCAGTCACGTATGGAACCATTAAAAGGTACTGGACAATCTTCTCAATTTAAAGAAATGACGACGTTCAAAAGTTGTTCTGCTACTGTTGACGACGACGATACCTCTTTATCAACCGCTGAGAGTGATAGTCTGAAAGCTAACGAAATCGAAGACATCACTGAGAAACTCGGGGCTAAACTAAATCTTCTCAACGTTAAGTCAAATACCGATTCGGGATTAGATCTCACAGCTAGCCCAGTTATGGACGATAGCATTGATAGAGGAAAGTTAGATCTTCCGGAGGATGAGGATGACGATGAAGAAATAGTTGTACCACCCCCTTTACCTCTGATCGAACCTCTTAGCAATGGAGTTAGCAGAGAAGTCTCCATGGAAAGTTTGAATCTTTCTCACAAGGACATTGTACTGCCATCTAGACACTCACTCTCATCAGAAGACGAAATCTTAGAAATTGTTGAGGTTGAAGATTTAGAACCCGTGCCAATGCAGGACTCCTGTCTTCAAGTCACAGAAGAGGACATTGCCATGTGTATGGGCGAAAATCCTTTACCAGAAAGCGATCAAGAAGAACATCCTCTGAGAATCCTAAGCCAAGAGAATCTCACGGTTGTCTCTACGTTTACTGGTAAGTTAATCTAAATCTAAATTTTTTTATAACTTGTTATTCCCCCGCTCTGGTTTAATTCTCTAAATCATCTAAGAAAATTAAAAAAAAAAATAATTGCGTTAAAAAAATAATCGAAAATACCATAGAACAAGGAAAAGATTCGGATATATTGATTTCGTTAATCTGTAATACTTTGATGTGGAAATGGAATCTAATAAAGATTTTATCTTTAACTTAAACCTAAAAAGAAAGTTAATGTACTAAAAATTCACTTTCTTCGTTATTAAAAAGATACTATAATTCTCAAAGCCAACGGTTAAATACATTTTGTAACTTTATATGATGTCAGTCATTGGATCTCTTGACCAGTGTCCAGTAAAGGACACTAATGTCCAAAGAAAGAGAAAGAAAGATGGAGAAACTAAGTTAGATGTAATTACTTATCCATCTCAGAGAGTTTTCTTTTATTTCTTCTTTCGTCCTTCATCTCTTTCTTTTCAAAGGATACATACGGACAGACGTACTTTTGCTCTTATCCACTTTCCTATCCTAAATGCGATACGTACGAAGAGACATGAAAAGAAAAATAAAAATCCTTTTCAGACTCAATGTCGGTAATGTCAGATACGGAACGCTACAGATCTCATTACCCACCGCCTGTTGGTGCTGGTGTAATGCCGAGGCCGTATTTCGACCACGAGGATTTCTTGGAACAAGAGACCAGGCACAAGTTCGATCAATTGGCACGACTTCACGAGCTCTACCAGAGCAAGCTAGCTCTTGCTAATGTCTCGAATTCAGCGACGTATCAAAGGGAGAATTCGTCCACTGTGAATTCCCGAGAAGCTCCATGTAAGTTATATTTTGTTAACATTTGAACAAGATAGAATAAAAAAAGAAAAAAAAAAGAACAAAAATTCTTTTAAAATATCCAATGGAAGATCAGCCGTTTTGTTTGGAACAAGTTCGAATATGTGAGTTGGCGTTGTTTTTGTTTTTGAAAAATTATTTTTTAATTAACATTTTATCGCTTCATCGAACACTTTAACATACATATAACAGTCCAAGCTGTTTTCGTTACTAACACTTTACGAGCTGCCAGGCCTAATTGTTCTACAGCAAGAAACAAATTAACGCAGGACAAATTCCAGCCGCCACCGTCTTCCGTCCGCCATCACGCTGTCAGTCATTGTCCCTTACGGACGTCTTATTCAACGACAATGCGAGCAATCATGGTAGTATCTACAGCGAGCCTGCATATATAGCTGGAAAGTCCGATCAAGAGAAGATATGTGACAATTGTCGTCAAAGTATGTCAAGACCAGCGACAGCATTTTATTGGTACCCAAGTAGCGTCGCTCATCTTGCCAGTCCAAGAAGATACTGCGGTAAATTAGGCGAGTGCAATATATCTAGTCTGAGGCATCCAGACGGTGCTTCGAATCCTAATTTAAAGGAAGAAATCGAAAGGATACCTGGGAACGGTGCTTCGGGCTCGGATCCTGAGGAGGAATACATTGAGGCAAAGAAACTCTTTACTGCGGCGGAGAGATCGGAAAGAACGATTACGGGCAAATCTGATATCGAGGAGGACGTTAAAATTCAAGGTAAAAAAAAAAAATCATCGAAGCTAACGAATATTTAATTAACTCTAAAGTGTAACATTTTTTCAACATGTTCTCAAACTCGTGAAAAATCCTTTCAGAAGAATATAAAATCTCGGATTTAATACGTTAACGCCATCGTGTGCTACTATCAATTTCTATTTTTTTTTCTTTTCCATTATTTTATATCGATTTTACCGTGTCCCATTGTCAACGTGTTAAAGAATATTTCTTCGAATTGTACATCTTCTTTCTTTCTTCTTTCAGCACCATCCTCCGGTAGAATGCAACGAAAAATTCTAAGTCTTGGCTCTTCGTTGGGTCTCAACAAAGAGGGTTACGAATCTGACGCCGATTCAGCAGCACGGGCAGCTAAATTGTCACCGGCTACTTTATCCAGACATCGAGCTGAAAGTTCAGGATACGACAGTGTTGTAAGGGACAGTGAGACCAGCAGTATCGCTAGTGATTCTTCTAGGCAAACCAGTGCTCTTCAAGAACATCAAGGTAATTAGCTCCGTGTCTATTCGAGATTGACAGACCTAAAAGAAAGAGATATCGTCGATAGATAAAGGGAAAAGTCGACGAAAAAATCCTCTAAAATTGCTCCCCCCGTATGATGTTGTTCTTCTCAGGTGGCGCACTGGGCGTTCTAACCTCGACGTTGTGCGGGTGTTTCAGCGGTGGAACGGCGGGTGGCAGGGCGCGTGCTCCGGGCACGACTTCACTCTCAGCAGGTGGCACGGCATCCGGTCGAGCCACCACTGCTGCCACCGGGAATACTCGTTTACACAGGCGAGGACGTGGACATCCTGGACAAGCGCGCGCGATTGCGTTCGGAGCCACGTGGCACGATGTCCAAGATACACAAACTGCGACTGCGCCAGCGCCTTCTTAGGCACGAACTCAGAGACGCCAAGAAGCGGTTGATGGTTCCCGACTGTCGTTGGAGTTACGAATGTTAGTAATTTATCTCTCATTCATTCCCATATTCATTTAATATTAAAATTATTAATTCGTCTTTATTACTGTCTGTCAATTTGACTGTTTCTTAAAAAAAAAAAAATAAAATACTACATTAGTTATTATAATTTTAATTTACATTATTCTATTACTAGTGATTTTGATAATCGCAAAAAGAAATTTGAACATTATTTTGATAATATTAACGTTTAACACTTTCAATGAGTTATTATTGTTTGTTTTTATTTAGCAAGTAAATCTTTAAATAATCTCATTATTGTTGATTGTTTCAGTGCACGTGGAGGACAGTATGGACTGGCGTGACCCGTCCTTTCTCGAGGCTCTCGAAGCTGAAACTTGCATACTCCAGAAACGAGTAGAAGCTTGCAAGAGTCATGTCCTCTTGGTCACCTGTTTCGATTTCTGTCCTCAACGCTCCTCAATGAGTAACGTCGCTTCACCGCAAGAAATAAATATCACCTAACGTAGATTCGGATCAGCGCGTACGACCGCGTGCTGATCGATACCGATACCGGTTAACCATCTTAACATGCGTCTTCTAATCTACCTACGATCGAATTTGTTTTCTATGATTCGCTAAGTTGGAGATAGAGTTATTAAAAGATAGAGAAGAGAAGAGACGAGCGAGGTCGTCGAATAAAATGCGTCACCGACACCGACGCCGATGTCGCTCGACTCCGTCCAAAATAACTATTATGGTTAGTCAAAAAATCGTCGTATCCTCGTCTTACCATCGCTTGTCATTGTTATCCTTTGTCCAGTTTAAGCGCTACAGGAAAAAAAAAGAAATGGAAAAAAAGAAAAAAGAAAGAGGTAGAGAGACAAAGAGAGAGAGAGAGAGAGAGAGAGAGAACTGCCTCCTCGATATTTTAACCTTTCAATTACGAAATCACGAAGAAAGAAAATCGCTTTTTCGCGAATTGATCTCATATTTCTCAATCGTCTATAATTAATCTTTGAAACATTGAATTTACCTTTGAATATTAAAGAGCGCGTTTACCAACATACGATGACCTTGCTTGCTTTTTGTAGATGAAAGGTTAAAGGGACGGCATTGTACACACATGTACACACCGGTAAATATACCTACGTACGCGCACACGCACGTGTCTTCTTATTGGAGTTGTTAGAGACTATATCGAATATATATATAAATATATATATATTATATATAAATATATAAATAGTATATATCTATGTATTCGCGTTACGATTTCTCGACGTTCGAATTTCCTCGGTTCCTTTTTAAATGGCGTACGTCGAGTTTCAAATGACTCCCCACAATCGAGATAGATAAAAAAATGTTATTATTATTATTATTATTATTATTATTATTATTATTATTATTATTATTATTATTATTATTATTATTATTATTACTATTATTCTTATTATTATTACTATTATTATTATTATTATTATTATTATTATTATTATTACTATTATTATTATTACTATTATTATTATTATTATTATTATTATTATTATTATTATTATTATTATTATTATTATTATTATTATCAATATTATTATAATTATTATCGTAATCATTATTATTACTATTAGTATTAATATTATTATTATGGATTATTGTTACGAGATGTAGAGAGCGCTCGACAAGCGATTATATATAAATGTTTATATTTAATTTATTCATTTTTAACGTACAAAAGATAGGTGCTGCGTTTATTATCGTTCTTAATGCGTGTATCGTTCGTTGCACTTCGCGTTTCAAGTAAATAAAAATTTAAAGAAAAAAATAAAAAAATAATAATAATAAAATAAAAAAAAAAAAAGAAAATAAACTCGCACTGCCGTTGATCGACCGATATAATAATGATAATCATTGCCGAAAGCCTTTCGACGAACATAAAGTAGTGTTTGGTAAATTTTATTACGAACGAACGGACGCGCTATTGCGTCCTTTTCCTCGTATCGTTCGTTCTAGTCGCGTTTAAAGGCAATAATATAATCGATGAGATCCGTACTGTCATACTGTCAATGATAAAAAAGAAAGAAAAGAAGGAAAAAAAAAGTAGAATGAAAGAAAAGAAAAAGAAAGAAAACAATATATGACTTCCAATAATACAAAGACTGCCGGCGAATAGGCCGAACTTTTTAGCGTTTCAAAACGATGAAGACAAAGAGAGACGATCGATTTACTATCGATTTACTATAAAATACATTCTTCAATGAGATTATTTAACGGGAAACTTATGCGATTAGAAAACGTGCCATGAAAAATGTGGAGTGGTCTTTTCTAATCGAGAACTCGATTGTTTCTTCCTAATGGTAAAAATGAAATAAACGAAAAAAGAAAAATAAAAGAAAAAAAAATAAAATACATAAATACATAAATAAGCAAAGGAGCAATGTATAAATATCGAAGTTCGATCGCCATCATCATTAAGATTCCGATTCATGCTAATGTAGACGAGTCGTAGATATAAAATAGAAAACTCCCAACGAGCCACATGCTACTGCCAAAAGAGAGAAAGAAAATTAAAAAAAAAAAAAAAAAAAGAAAAAAAAAGAAAAAGAAGAAAAAACGGAAAGAACGAAAAGAAAACGAGAGCACGATAAAATCATTTTTTGTACGATTTAAGAATTAATGTGAAAAAGATTAAAGTAAGAAAAATGAAGAAAAGAAAAAAAGAAAAAAGAAAAAATTAAAAAACTGCGACCGCAAGCGAACTAATTAAGATATACACGCACGTTAATTCAACATATTATCGTAGCTTTAATTGTTATCGACAGTTATCGCACTTCGTAGGGTTCTGTAACTTCACGTAGAAAGACGCTGATCGTGGTGAATTAAGAAAGAGAGAGAGAGAGAGAGAGAGAAAAAGAGAGAGAGGAAGGAGAAAAATAATTACGAAATTGCGTTTGTAAAAATGAAACTCGTAAGACACATGTAAGAAAGAAAACGTGACGTTTTCGATAAACAAGAATAAAAGAATAACAGAATAAAAGAATAAAAAATAAATAATAAAAATAAATAATAAAAAAAAGATAAGAAGAAGAAAGTCAAAAGAAAAACAATTAGATTAGTTAAGAGTTCTTGAAAATATCGACGTTGTGAATATGTAAGAGAAAACACAACGTTCGGGGTTAAGAAGTAGACGGTCTCGAAGAGAAGGGAGAGAATGAAAATAGGCGGGATAAAAATAAATCGGTATACCAGTAGGCAGTTAAAATGCAAAAATAGAGATTCCAGTATTCGAATGCGTGTCGCGGCGAACCGAGATCCGATAACTATCAAAAACATCCCCTCTTTTTTCGTCATAATTTTCGTTTCGCATATATCTACCTCTCTTCAATTTTCCTTCGTGCATTATGTATGTATATACAAGAATAATGTATCTATGTATGTATGTACGTATGTATGTATGTATGTATGTATGTATGTATGTATGTATGTATGTATGTATGTATGTATGTATGTATGTATGTATGTATGTATGTATGTATGTATGTATGTATGTATGTATGTATGTATGTATGTATGTATGTATGTATGTATCTATGTATGTATGATCGAATAAGCAGGTATGCTCGATTAAAAAAAAAAAAAAAAAGGAAGAAAAAGGGGAAAAAAACAAAAAAAAAAGTTAACTAATCGTAAGAACAAATTCTTCGATTGGATGCTTCTTCGAGCTTTGAGCCTGAAATTCGAATTTTTGTTCCACCCATTTTTTTTTTTATTATACATATAAACACACAAACACACACACATATATGTATTTTATATTTTCAGAAGAAAAATGTAATAATCACGTATGTAAGATAAAGAAATTTCGATTTGACCCACGTAAATATCTATAAGTACGCAAGTAATTGTGTAAAGAGTATTAGACACTAGTGGGGATGTAATGAAAAAGAGAATGGTGGGGTTTGATGAAGAAGAAAATGGTGGGGGATCGCTGGTTAAAGTCATGGATCTATCGTTGAGACGTGCGCAGTTTTATTTCGACCTTGGTCCTTGTTACATTTACTCACATGACCCACGTCCTCGATATAAACAAATCCTTGTTAACAAATATCAAGATAGTACAATAACGATAAGCAATGATCTCTTTGTTATTTTTCTTAATAACAGATTTCTATTAGTAAAAGGCCGATACACGTATTGCATGCAATGAAATCAGCTAACTTTCTTCATAAGAAGAAATCAACTCTTTCATTGTTAAAAGTTTTAGATTTATCTTTATTCGAATGAATAAACGAACGAAGGAACAAACAAACAAACAAACAAACGAATAAACGAACGAACGAACGAACGAACGAACGAACGAACGAACGAACGAACGAACGAACGAACGAAGGAACGAACGAACGAAGGTGATATATAGATCTCCCGATCGATATTTTTCTACGTTTTTTACATTATGATTTTCATGAACGATCTCGATCTCCAGGCGAGGGCTTCCAGAAAATTGAAAAAGAAAAAAAAAGAAAAAGAAAATATTTCTTCCATCTTGTCGAAGGACAGCCTAAAATTTTTGAAACTTACAATTTCCGTTCCCCCGTCATCGCCGTACGCGCGTATCTCGATCGGAAAGCCACTGCCAAGAGAGCGTGTGTCGAGTCCATGTACCGTGAAAAAGAAAAAGAAAGAAAAAAGAACGAAATACTAGTATATAACAAACAATGAAACGTTCTAAGGAATATGATAACGATATCGATTATTTGATTGAAACGATAGAAACGATCTATAACGTCCCACTGATCAAAACCACGCGTCTCTGTATATATATTATACTACTTGTATCATATTTATATTTTATATGTACAAATTAGCTATGTAATTTCTTGTAATAAAGACGAATTTGCAACGTAGATCATCGTGAGGAAAATTGAAGGATTCAAAGAGAAAGAAAGAGAGAGAGAGAAAGAGAGAGAGGGAGAGAGAGACGGAAGAAAGAAAAGAAGCATGGTAAAAACCTTTTCATTTAGTATTTTCTTTTCAAAACAAATTTGAATCTAATTTAATGGAATTGAATCGATATATACTAATGTAGTTTCAACTGTATGTATTTGCTAATGAAGTTTGTCTCTTACAACGAAGATAAAAATACTAATGAATAGTTGGAAAATTGAAAAGTCGAAGAACGAAATGATGGAATAAAGTAAAATCGTGTTTTCTCTTCTCTTTTTGCGTAAGAAACATTCCACGTATGGAAGAAAAATAAAATAATGTAAACAAACGTTTATTCTCGATCACGCCCAATTAATTCCCATCTGAATATTTTCTCGTTTCTTCTTTTTCTTTTTTCTTTTTCCTTTTTTTTTTTTCTTCCCCCCAATTATCGTTACAGGTACTAAAAGGTACGGAAGATATAAAATTATCTAAGAAAAGAAGACATGTCTACGAGGAGTTAATGAAGATCAGAGATTAGACTGCTCCTTAGATATTCGGGACGTAAAGTGGATTATCCTTGGAACTGAGTTAGGCCGAGCAACGAGCAGGATCGATGATTACCGTAATTAAAGCCATAAAATCAGGGCCGATGATACGTATCGTATCATGTAAGGCCAAGAAACTTAGGCACTTGAACGTCTTTCGACCGAAGATACAATTTAATCTTACTGTCTTCTTCGTTAATCATGTAAAATACGATAGACGAACAAAAAGTGCACTCGTCTTCGTCTAAACTGTTCTTTAGAAAATATGAACGTTAACTCGTGAATATTACTCGATCACATTAACAATGATTAAAATTGCAAGAGACTTCAAAAATTTACGTAGGAGCTTGTCAATAGCGTCTTCGTTAACGTTTAACGTCAAAACCACCTGTCGATGTCGATTAGATAGTTCATTGTTATTCGAAAGATTATTTTATCTTATCAATGTACTTATGTCCATTGTAGTAAATCGCATAACTACGACTATTGAATAATTATCTAGAATAATGAACAGAGAAAGAAAGGCCGAATGACTCTTTCGGTAGATATCTCGAATCGCCTAATCATTCAATATCGCATCATTCGCATTAGCTAATCCGAGGATATTAACATGTAAACGTTAAACTATCGCGTTGCGTGTCATACAAAGTTCTAATTACGCGTGGGACATATTTTCTACAGACTTTCTGATCTAATAGTTATTTTTACAAATTTTACTAAACCTTGATTCACTAGTCTCCTTGAAAATTATATACTTGTTACATTATTCGTCTTGTAAAATCGTTAACGATTAACACCAAGCTCGATGACAAAAACTACTTCGTCACTCATAGCTAATTAGCTGACTGAATTTTCTTTGTGATCGAGGAAATTTGATAAAAAATAAATGAAACAAGCAATGAGATCTTCAAAATGGTGAATGAAATCTTCTGATTGGTTCGATCGAAACCATTCTAATAATTTTTGATAGATTTTTTTTATAATATTTCTTATAAACAAAAATATCTCAAATGACACGTAGGATCATGGATACACGAACATGAATGCATGCGCGCGTGCATATTATACATACGAAACAGAAGAAAAAATAAAAGAAAAGAAAAGGAAAGGAAAAAAGAAGAATTCTTGAAAATCGACAAAATCCATAAATCCCAATCGACGCTAGCCCTTTGCAAATAGATAGATAGATAGTGTACATAGAAATAGTGAAAGAAGAAAAAAGAAAAGAAAAAAAGAAGAACAACATATACACAACTAAAGTGAAACTCTTTTCGTTTACTTAAGTTCGCCAAGTGGACGCGAAGCTTAGCCCTTTTATTTATTCGTCTGGATGGGCATCGGAGGCAAGCTGCCAGACGAATAAATCTCACGCACATAGAAGACGATGAGGAGAAGAAAAGGAAGAAGAAGAAGAAAAAAGGGAAAAGGAAAAAAGAGGAGGAGGAGAAGTAGAATAAGGTGAAAGAATAGGAAGAGGACGCCTTCGTGCGTTGAAGCAAAACGGGTTGGTTTCTTGCGTCGTTGAACGATCTAATCGTCCATCGTCCTCTCTATCTACTTTTCTCTTTTGTCAAGAGGATAAATAGAAAGAGAAAGAAAGAGAGAGAGAGAGAGAGAGAGAGAGAGAGGGAGAGAGAGAGAATGAAAGAAAGGAAAAATTTAGGAAGACGTAGGTTGAGAGGAAAATCTTCCTCTTGTGATTGAAATCTGGCAAGAGTTTGGACGTTACATGTAAAGAGATAATAAAGAAAGAAAGAGAGAAATAGAGAGAAAGAGAGAAATAAAAGAAAACATAAAAGAAAAAAAGAGAAAGAATAAGAAAGAGAGAGAGAGAGAGAGAGAGAGAGAGAGAGAGAGAGAGAATGGATCTCCATGTACGTTCGACAAAATTATCGCTTGGCACGGAAAAGAAGAAGAAGCAGCAGAAGAAGAAGAAGAAGAAGAAGAAGAAGCGAGACGTTGAGGCGGCTACTTGGAGGAGGCCGATTAGGGGGCGGCAAGAAGTAGAGAAACGAGCGAACGCACGAGAAAGAGAGATAGATAGATAGAGAGAGAGAGAAAGAGACTCGCATGAGCCATTTTCGAGAGAACCGATCTCTCGGCAGTAGCGTTAAGACAGTCCGAGAGAATGGCTCGCGACGCACGTTTTAACGACGTTTCGTGTTTGGCCCTGGTCATCCTCCTCCTCGTGCCATCTTTGCATGCTCTCTCAAAAAACGATCTCTACCCTCACAATGTTCCAGGAACTAATATACTCGAGTACGATACCAATGGGATTCTTCAATCGGTCGAGGCAATTCTCAAAACGCCGATTGTCTTTTACGATAAAGTCTACAATAACATATTCGTGAGTACATTAAATATCGTATTTCGTAAGACTATCCTTTGATTGTATTTTCTATTCCAAAGTTCTATCTTATCTCTTTATCGGTAGTTTTGGAAGAATATTTCACTGTTTCAATTCGTGGTATCTTTTATTTTTTTTTTTTTTTATTTTTGTTGTTTTTATCTTTTCTTTTCGGTCAAGACAGCGACTACTATTTTTCATTTTTATTGTTTTTACGATCAACATCACACACACACACACACACACACACATACATACATACATACACACAAGTGCGCGCGCATACATACGTACATACGTACGTACGTACGTAAGCACGCAAGCATATACTTACAACGTATTTCTTTGAATAATATAAAATATGACGTAATAATATTTATAACATTTTTTATTTCGAATTTATTGAGAGAGAATTTTTTGATTTAAAAATAAAAATTATAATAATGAAAAAGATGACATCCGTATTATAGTCTGTTCATAAATAGAGTCTTTATTAGCGAAGTATATTTAGAAAGCGTCACGTCCGATTCTTATTGGCGCGAGTTCGTGTTCTTCTTCTCTGTAACATGAGCGAGGCGGCCGATATTAATCGTCGACTTTGTTCGCTACGATAATTTTGACGAGACTTACTTCAAGACGGCTCTATTACCTCGCTAGTCCTGATAATCCAAGTTCTTCGAGAGTAACGCAACCATAATATGATTACAAGTATTAAAACAATGAACTACGTAGGAGAAAGATTGATTCAGAAAATTTTTTCTCTTTTCTTTTTTATTATACATCTACTCCTCTCTCTTTCTTTCTTTTTCTTTTCTATATATAGGACTCCTATTCTAATTTAATAATAATAAATTTTGTTTTTCTTTTATTTTCTCTCGTTCGTTCTCTTCTTCTCTCTCTCTCTCTCTCTCTCTCTCTCTCTCTCTCTTTCTCTCTCTCTCTCTTTCTCTCTCTCTCTCTTTCTCTCTCTATCTCTTTCTCTCTTTCATTTTCTTTATTTCTTCACTAAAGTATTTATTTCTATCTTCTCCCAAATTCTTAATAATACCACTTGGCGAATATATTTGTAGCATCCATTCTATTTTTATCAATCGCGTTACGACGATAAAGTTTTGGCGTAGAAATTCTTAAAAGAGAGAGAGAGAGAGAAAGAAAGAGAGAAAGAGAGAGAGAGTGAGAGAGAGAACGAGAGATAGAAAAATTTTTTCGTTCTTTGAACTATACAGTCGTGAATAAAAAAACATAGATGATATATTTGATTATGAGTTAACTCTTGCAACAACTTATAGGTACATATCATTGAGCAATAACTAAAAAAAGAGGGAGAGAGAGAGGGAAAATATGAGTATACAAGTGGTATAATTAAACAAACTCTCCGTTAATAGCAATTTCTTTTTGGTATTTGGGGAGCCGTGAACATTTGTTCGTCCTCTTAATTCGTCTGCTGGACTAATCTGTCGTCATCTTCTAGCGTGACACGAATTCATTGAATGTAATGACGGTCAAATGGCTACGTGTCGCAATCGTTTAATTGTACTGGGTCGTCGCACGGGCCCAACCCGTTTTCTAAGGCTTTTTAAAGAGATCGTTAACATCTATGGAAAGGAATAGACAATAATAATAACATGTCTTTCATTCTACTCCAATCAATATTATAGTTCCATTTATTTATAAAGTTCCGTAGATGAGATATAAAAAATTCGATAAATAATTAGAATTTATCAGATAATAATGATACGAATAAAAAATATTCATTAGCTATTTGTAAGTATAATTAATTAATTTTTAATAGGAATATTATTAATTTATTCAATATAAAGTTAGACATACAAAAGATCGAATAATTCTCGTTAGTTCACGTTTTGTCGTTTTTATGCATTTAATTAACAATTTATACAATTTCATTACGAATACAAAAGAAAGGAAATGCGATATATTAGATTCTATATGAGCAAGATTTCGAGAATAGAATCTAAGATGAGAATTTCTCGAAGAATCTCGAAGTTTGAATGTTGGCAGATTTGAGTCAGCGTCCCCTGTAAACATCGATAGACGGATATATTTAAAAAGACAATTAACAACAAAGTCCTATAGGACGTGTTATAGTAGTTGTGATCTCATTATTCGTGGAATAGCAACGTGTTACAAGCTGGTCGTTCTTATGAATGAACGTTGATTACGTACTACGTGTTCTCTCTCTTTCTCTCTCTCTCTCTCTCTCTCTCTCTCTCTCTCTCTCTTTTGTTCACTGTAGTGCAAATCTAATTGAAAGATTCATCTCTCTTGCATCGGTTTATTGCGACTCAAGATGCATGAGCTCATGCATGGAAACATGACGGCGTTCATAATTATATTTCCTCATCTGATAGGATCGATTCCGTATCGGGACTTCTACTTTGAAATTCATCTATCGAGAATTATAGCTCATTCTTAAGAAGAAACAAGAAAAAGGCACAAAAGAAAAAGAAATAAAAAAAAAAATAAAACATTAAAAAAAACAAAAAGAAGAGTAAATACAACGCATAAATTTAATTTCTTTTTTTTTTTACATTAAGATATTGCATTGAAAGATTCCTTTTTTTTTATATTTTTTTTTATCTATCTACCTATCTTCCTTTATTTGTTCTTCCGTGTTTTTTCTTCGTTTGTTCCTTTTTTCTTTGTTATTTTTTTTCTTTTTTTTCTTTTTTTTTTTTTTTTTTTTTTTTTTTTACTAAATCTGCTGCACACCGTTTCATGAACATGGACTGCACCCTTTGTAAATCGCACGTAAATGCTTTCAGTCAGCGTTGCAACGTGATTGCGATCTGTCATGCGTCGTTTCCATTCATCGACACGTCTATAATTCAATCGTCCGCTAGAATGATTGTCGCATTATTAATCGACGTGCCTGTACGAATACATACCTACAAATGTATACGTATACGTATATGTGTATATATTTATATGTATGCATGTACGTACGTACGTACGTACATATGTATATATACGCACATACGTATATACATACATATTCTACATACATATATACAGATTCATGATCGTGAATTTTCGTGCTATTCGGAACGTGTTTCTCCCTCGTCGGAACAAGAGCGAGTCGTTTAGAAACAATATTACATTTCGTATGTTTGGGGATCACAATAGATTCTTTTTATATTGACTTATTAAGAAATAGATCGTCGAATCGTAAAGGATGATTGATATTTTGATTACTAGTGTGTTCTTTTGAAAATGTTATTAACGAAAGCATGAGTTCCATTGAATATCCATCGTGATGTTATTAATAAGTACTTGGAAATGAGCGATTATACGAATTGAAAAGATGACACGTTGTTATCTTAATCGAACTCTACGACAAAAGAAATAGAGTAACAACAGTGAATTGTTTGAATTTACAACAAAATGTTTATATTTCTTATCACTTATTTAGAAAAGCTTTCAAATATTTTAGATTTTCTTTTTCGCATGTTCTGTCATAATTCTTGGTAGAACTAATCGTATAGGATATCTCAATTCCTAAAATGATATTATCTCTCTTTCCCTTTTCTCTTTTCTTTTTATATATGTATAAAATCGATTTACGTTCAGTATGATTAGTATAACAAACGTTCAATTAGAATAACGACTGAGAACGTAGACAATGAATGTCTACGAGTGTATGCACGAGTTGATGCAGCCTAGTCACTTCTCGTAACATTTAAGTATATATATATATATATATGTACATGAAATATATAGATGATTAGACGTTAATACGGCGCGTGGTCCATGCTGCAAAATGCTGTTAACCTTGCAATTAACCTTGAAGCTTTCCCACATTAGTCAACCAGTCATCTATTTAAAGTGAGAAAATAACATCGAGTAATTTCTAATTGATGTGTAATATATGTATATATGTATGTAGATTGAAATCATGCAATAATTTTTATTTCTTTCATTTAACGTCGTGACGTCATACATCAACTTAAGAAACGATACAATGTAAACAATCAATTCTATATATATATATATATATATATATATATAATAGAATTAAATATATATATATTTTTTTTTTATTATTTATCTATTCAAGGAAATTAAATGTCAAAAAATACATGAAATTTCGGCATGCAAGAGACAATGTCGTTGACGACGTGAAGAATTGATTGACACAGATATATATTGCGATATATACATTGACGGGGCTAAAAAGCGACGTTCTAGTTAGGAGTAGCAGAGGCTGCCTACACGACAATCATCTCCGATTCCGTCCGTTATCGTCGACGATTCGCAGTCATCAAAATGATTGCACCCGATTACACGATTGCGTTAGCGCGTGCGGCATGCGTTATCTCTATGTTGCTGTCCTGGTGCAAGTTTTACGTAGGTACTGCATACGTAGGCTCATCAAGCAAAGAGTATCATCATCGTTTTGCCTTCGCACAGGAACATCCTCCCACTCGAAGTCTCATAAAAATGTTCTTATCGAGATTAGATATCGAAACGATCACATCTTGATTGGTCCAATCAATTTTATCAGATAGGAATGATTTCTATGATCAATAAATTAAGAACAAACAAATAATCTGTCTCTATTCGTCGGCGATCTCTCATTAATAATATTTTTTTAATTCTTTAAAATTAATCTATATAAAGAAAAGTTATTATCAAAGAAAACATTCTTTTCATATAAAAAGTTAAAAATCAACGGAGATAATTTGTTTGATATGGATTCGATAATTATTACAGAAAATATTTTAAAAGAAAAATGAAAAATTGTTTTTAATTAGTGGATTTAATGGTTACGAAGGAAAATATTTTTAAAAAGAAATTGAAAAATCAGCGAATGTGACTACTTCTTCTTTCTTTTTATCACACTCTCTCTCTCTCTCTCTCTCTCTCTCTCTCTCTCTCTCTCTCTTTCTCTCTCTCGACATACTATATTACTTCCTTGCATTCTTATCTATTTTTACAGTTTTTTCTTTTCCATTCACGCTTCCCCACCGCGATTATCCCCGCAAGAGTGTGTGTCATCGGCTTCGCTCTGACCTACGACCCCCCCGCGATAGCCCCGACCGAGATAGCACGATCGAGACTCTTGCTAGCTTTGCTAGCACGCGAGTGACAAATCATTTGAGTAGTCAAATAGATCGTCTTTGAACCGATTGTCCGATTAACTTTCTTTTTCTCTAAAATTATTTTTCGTAGTTTCTTTCTTATTCGTTTCTTTTTTATATACGTTTCGATTATTTTCCATTCATCGTCATTACTTTTTAATTCGATTTAATTTATTTCCACAAGTCATGTCTATTAACGTTTTATCTTTGTTTTCTTTTCTTTCTTTCTTTCTTTCTTTTTTTTTTTTTTTGTTAATATAAACAAAAGAAGAATAGAAATGTGAAAAGACGTTGATCTTTAAAACAATTGAAATGTACGTTGTTAATAATAATCTAATGGACTGCTATAAGCTATGAGACGATTCAAGAATGAAATTAAGCTGCCTGAATTTAGGCCAATTTTCGAAGGCAGCGAGTAAAAAAAGGAGGAAAAAAGAAAAGAACACAATTTATTTCGTCTGTCGACTCGTCGTCGATCTCGCAATTAACGATGCGGAAAGATACGTTTCATCAAAGTCCGATAGCGATTGTATACAAGAAGTCTTTCTATCTATGTCACATGAGAGCTTTCTAACGATAAAGTCCTCCGTGCACTTACCATGGTCAGATTGTTCGTCAGACATGTTTTCATGACGTAAATAGAAAATTCTATTAATTATAATTTTTCATAAGATAAAATTTATCATGTTCATGGTACACCGATGTTCAATTGAGAATTTTGTTTATTCGATTTTTTAGTTAAATATGTTTTCTTATAATTAATTTATTCGTTTTAACGAAATGTTTAATGAATACATCAATCAAATACAAAATTCTACATTTTATTTGATAGATTCGTATGATATAAAATATCTGTACGTATAATGAAAGATTATTTTAAAAGCAATTATTAATGTAATAATTATTTTAAAAAATATAGAAAATAATTCGAAGGATCAGAAAGTTAATGAAATCTTTGTCAATATAATTAATTCTAATTTCAAGTCATTGAGAATCCGTAGAAATTTGAGCAAGGATTAGACTCAATTCATTCGTGAAAACAAGGTCCCACGTGCGCAGAGAGAAAGATAGGAAGAGAAAGAGAAGGAAAGAAAGAGAGAGATAGAAAGAGAGAAATAGACAGACAGACAGAGACGAGACGTCTTTCGAGGGAGCTTTAATGTCGTCTCATTAACGAGACGAAACTTTCTTCAAGAAGCGACAGCTGCGTCTCAGCATCCATTTCGAAGACTTTTCGTTGATCGACGAAAAGAGAAAAGATAGATGAGCGTATAAGAGAAAGAGAGAGAAAGAGAAAGAGAGAGAGAGAGAAAGAGAGGAAGAGAAAAGATGGAACGAAGTCAAAGCACGTTTATGCGAACGCAAACAACCGTCGGCATGGTTAGCTTTGAACAGTCAAGCGTGTTGTTGGGTGAATGACATCTCGACGCATTGAAACGCGCTAAAACGAAGCGCGTGCTGTTGAGTCTCTTTCTTTTTCTCTCTTTCTCTCTTTCTCTCTTTCTCTCTTTCTCTCTTTCTTTCCTTCTCTTTCTCTCTCTCTCTCTCTCTCTCTCTCTCTTTCTCTCTATCTATCTATCTTTATGTCTATGTCTTTCTCTGTATACGTCCTGAAGTGCTCGTTCATCGAGCCTATCAATTACGTCATCATTAAATTTTACTCGATGACATGTGCCGACAATTTACCTGGTGAGCTCCTTGATTTGTTTCATTATATTTTTATCATTAATTAATATTAATCAATCGTTAGATAGTTATAAAATTCTAATCGAGTGTTGACACTATTTCATAAATTTTCTTTAATATTTTGACTTTACTAAGTTTTAACGCTAATTGATATCTTTATCATTATTTAATATTTTTCATAAGTTTGTTTAGATGAAAAAGATTTATTAAAGAAATTTTAAATGTTTTTAAGAAATTAAAAATTTGTAATGTTATCAAAGAAAATTTTGACAAATTTTCTAACAATGATTAAAACATCAAGTACCGTTTATCTCATTTTAAACTTTTAACATTTAGACTACTACTACTATTAATTTCAAATACGAATCGATATATTCATTTAATATCTTTTATAAATTTGTTTAGATAAAAAAGACTATATAGTCGTTTAATTAAAACATTTTTAATAAAGATTAAAACATTTTTAATAAAGGTTAAAATATCGAGCACCATTGAATTCCATGGTATACAACGTTTTAAACATATTCTTTCTTTCTTTGTTAATATTATATGTTTTTCATTTCGAGAATGGAATTAGAGTCAACAATGTAAAAAATATTGTTTATTTTTTTTTTTTTTTTGAGACAGAGAAATGCCATGAACATAGATATATATTCTCGTAATCATATTTATCGTGGAAAAAGATGGAAAAGGGAAAGAAAGATAGAGATAGAGAAAGAGAAAGAGAAAGAGGGAGAGAGTGAGGAATGGGAGAAGGGAAGATGGAAGGGAAGATGGAAGGGTCGCGGTGACTCTTTGCGAAAAAATGATCCTTTTTCCGTGCCACAAGAGGATAAAGGCGAACGTTCTTTATTAGCTTACGTTGGATCCTTCCGACATCCTCCTGTATTTCCTCGAGCGTTAAACATTAACTGCCAGAGATAATTCCTGAAACGGTATATAATGGTTGACTGCGATAACGACTCACTCGTTAGACGAGTTTTTTTCGTTAATTAATGATAAAGAAAGCTCTTATAATAATTACCTACATAGATATACGTAATTTTGTTATTTATAATTTAAGAAAGAAAAAAAAAAAGAGAAGAAGAAACATTTTCTCTGACATTCGATCACGCATTTTGTTTTCATAACTGTTTTTTTCCGAATTACTTTCAATTATATTATTTAAATTAAATTATATATACATTAAATTAAGTTATATCGTAGTATACGATATAGATTATATATGCATTTCGAACATAGTAAAAATTGGCTTTAAGAGAATATTTTTTTTCTTCTTTATAGAAGAAAAAACATTGTCTTATCACTTGTTCTTTATCAGGATTTTTAAGGATTCCTATTTTTTTTCTTCCCACGTTTGATCCATTTTGTTCTTCTTTTCTCTTACTTCTATTTTTTTTTCTTTTTTCTTTTACATCTCAAATGGTAGTTATGCATACGTAGATATGTACGTGAAAGTTTAAAGGTCTCCAAAGAGTTTTTCGCTTAGTGTAGCAGTTTCAGCAAAAGACTCGTTAGTTCGGTACGGGACTCCATTGTATTCCTCGTAGGAATCTCGTTTCTTCGGGAAATGGCACGATGTAGTTCAGTACAGTGTACAGACACGATGGCAATTATGGTCATTAACGGGTAAATGCACGGCACTTGCGTCAGATATTTGATAACGTCATCGCTGAATTTTCAAGCATCTTGCGGAATTCACCTGACTAACGCTACTTTGATTACTTGCATACTTAAATGCGAGGATTCTCGAAAGTCAACCCATTTGAATAAGTTTCTCGTTTCGTTGAGGTGCTTTCAGTTGTTTGACTTTTATACCTCGATCTTTCTCATTAGAACTCAATGTGTCAGTTCTCACCTAACTACATATATTTAACTTATACTTTATTTAAAATTATAACAATCAGAAAATTCTTAAGAAATATGATAAGATTATGTTTAACATGTTTCAAAATTTCTTCCAACGAGAAATTGAAAGAGGAAATCAAGAGAAAATCAAAAGGAAATCGAATTGTTTAACTGTCAATGGAGTAGTTTTAATTTTTTTATGAATAATCTTTACAATCGATAAATTAAACCGTTTGAAAAAAATAGATTTTTAAAAGTTACGTTTAAAAATTTATTAAATTTTTTTCCTATATTTATTGAAAGAAAATTTGAAAAGAAATTGAATTTCAACTGTCGATAGAATAAATTTAATTCTTTATCGAGAATTGTTCTGATCAAAAAATCAATTCTTCCGAAAAATGATGAATTATATTATTTGAAAATTTTTTGAATTTCTTCCTTCGATATCGAAGAAAGGATTTGTCGATAATTAAAATGTTGTATTTATGAACCGAATTTTAGGTAAACGCAAATGGCGTCTTATCATTTGCACGAGCAATGCAGAGGTTTTTTAATATTGCTTTCCCATTGGATGATCCGGTGATTGCACCACTCTACACGCACGTCGATACGAGAGCATCAGGAACAATTTATTGGGCCGAGACAGATTCCCCGGAGGTTATTGCGAGAGCAGGTGGAACGATACGAAGCACGTTCAAGGATGCGCTCGATTTCGAGCCGACCCACGTCTTTTTGACAACTTGGCTGGACGTTGGTTATTATAACGAAAATAACGATAAGGTGAATGTCCGATTTTTTCATTTTATAAAGAAATTAAAAATAAAAAAAGAAAAATCAAAGAAAAGATATTCGTCATTGTATACGAGTAACAATTTTTATTTATATCTCATTGTTACTTAGTTTCTGTTCTCATATTATGTATTTTAAATATAAGAGCGTAAAAAAAAAAGATAGTATAAAATTAACAATTTTTATCAAAAAAAAAAAAATAACATAACGAAATGATATAAATAATTATTTTATAAATTCATTAAAGTCATATAATAGATAACTATACATTGCGAGTGATAAAAATATTACAATAGATTATTTTAATAGTTTAAATTGTATCGTCGATTATTCTCGTAAGTTACTATTACGTATGAAATTTAATCTTATATATGTAATCGTTCGTTCGTAGGTTAATACTTATCAAGTAGCAATATCTTCGAACGGCACACATTCTTTCGTCGAATTATTATACCCAGAGAATGGAATCCAATGGATACAAGCGGAGTCACATCCCAGTGGATTGCCAGATGCCAAAGCTCAGGCTGGTTTTATGAGCGAGGGTCGAATAACAACGTTGCAAGGTTCAGGCACCGATCAGATTCAAAACGTTGACAAGTGAGTCGTGGAAGGATGTATTGTAACGAAAACAAAAAGAAAAGAAAAAATTTAACAAATAGATTCCTTCTTTTTCAATCAGATGGTCGAACATTAACAGACCAGGTCATTGGGTGTTTCAAGTTGGACCAATCGCCGATGGTGAAGATGTCAAGACACCCGATAGCATAGAAGGTTATTATTCTCATTAAAATATTATCCATAAATATATCGTAGTAATCTTTGAAATAACAAAATGTATATATATTCTCGATCAGATACTACAGGTGGTAGCCAAACACCGAGTTGCAGAACAGGTGCGACTACTTGTCACAGTAAAGCAACTTGTATTGACTATGAAGTTGGGTTTTGTTGCAGTTGTAAACAGGGATTCTTTGGAAATGGAAAATCTTGTCAACCGAATGGTAAGTTAATCATGTTACACATGATTAATGTCGTCACTTTTCCTTTCTATGATAAAATCTCCAAGTAAATGTGTACAGTTTCAAAACGATTTTCATGTCATTCGTGATAAAGAGATTTGTCATTTGAACCTTTGAAATGAAAGAGATCCTTTTAGTTACGATTTAACTGTGTATCTTGACTCCCTTTGTATCTTTCGAGTTCTTTTCTGATTACTAATTGACACCATCAGAGAATGCTCTTTGATGTAACTCATCACTTGACTACAAGGAATATTTTTAAATCTCGTTTCTTCGAAAAGATCTAGCTTTCACACAAGGCAACACTGTTTTCGTCGACGAACAGATAAGTGTCTCGTAATAAGCACTCGACTTACAACGAGTTCTCTCTGATCTATTCATAGTTTACGAGATCTCTCTGTTTCTTGGTAGACACTCGTAAAAGGTCGATGTTAGAGTACCGTGAAAACTTTTGAACATTTACTTCGTTGAATTTCAGTTTAACGACCTTTAAAATATATCTTGAGTACATTTTGTATCATTTTTAAAAAAGAAACGTAAAAGTGGTGTCTGTAAAAATGATGAACGGATGATCCCAATGGAGCTCTCTTTTCCTTAAGATCGATTTTTCAGACGTACCACTTCGCGTCATTGGCCGTATCTCTGGTACGATCAACGAAATTGAGTTTCCGTCGAGGGATCTTCAATGCTACGTGCAAACCAAGGATGGAAGGACATATACCGCTTTGTCGAGGGTACCAGAAGAGATAGGCGCAAGTTTCCAGCTTCTAAGTAATTTGGGAGGAGTTATTGGTTGGCTCTTTGCGAAGCCAGTCAGTGAAACAAAAAATGGATATGAGCTCACAGGTTCGAAATAATCAATTTCTCTTTGATCCTTCCAGTGTTACGATTGAATCGATCATCAATAGGTCATTCTAATTATAAAGTTATCTTCTATCAATTCATCAATTCATTCTGATGCAATGAGCTTGTTTGAATCAATCATGTGATCATAGATTCTCAAAGCTATCTCGAATCGATTTGTTCAATTCAGAAACAACCAAGCTTATTAGAATCAATCGTTTGATATCCCTCCAGGTGGTTTATTCAATCACACGTCCGAGATTCTCTTTACCTCTACTAACGACAGAGTGACCATACGAAATAATTATCAGGGATTGGATGTCTTTGGACAATTGAAAATGGAAGCAGAAATAACAGGAAAATTACCGTATTTGGAACCAGACACTAGACTCGAGTGTGGTGATCACGACGAAGTTTACACGAGATCGCAGCCTGGAATATTGCGTACTCAGAGTGAAAGAAGTTGTAAATTGATCAATGGACACTCTGAACGCGAATTGATTTTCACGCAGGATCAAACAATCGTTTACAATGAATGTCCATATGCTGAGAATGATCCGGAAGAAGATACGACTAGGTTGAAATTTTACAGAGGTGTCACTACTTATGAGGCAAGAGAAGGAATAATAAGATTTGCTGTTAATACAAAAATTGCACCTTTGGAAGAAGAGGATCCATGTATTCAGGGTAAAGAAACATGTGGAGAACATAGTTCTTGCGTCGTTGATGAGGATAGCTTCAAGTGTGTCTGCAATCCTGGGTAAGTATAAAAAAGTATTAGATTACAATATTACTATATTATTAGTTAACAAAATGGACACTTAAAAAATTTTAATAAATTCACGATATGATTGAATGTTTGCTAAGATATCAGTACCTTTACGAAGAAGATGGTAGCGCCATTTGCGTGGACGTGAACGAATGCAGTGCTGGTAATCACATGTGTTCTCCTGATGCTCAGTGTATCAATCAAGAAGGAAGTCATACTTGCCACTGTCGGCCTGGTTTTTCGGGAGACGGTCGAGTTTGCGAAAGTAAGTTTAGTTTCTACTTTTTCAATGATCGATATCTTAACAACTTTTGATAATTTAATGAAGTCGTTGTCAATATTATAATATTATAATTTTTTATTTGATATTAGAACTTCCTTCTTGCAAAGATATTCGTTGTCAAACGTATGAGCTATGTGTGATAATAGAAAATACACCGACTTGTATTTGTGCTCCTGGCTTCGATCAAACTGATCAAGGCTGTTACCCTGTTCAGCATAGTAAGTGTTATCTACGGAGTAGGTAAGGAGTAAACCTTACCTACATACGGTAATATTATATTTCTATTTCCTTTTCTTTTTTTTTTTTTAATCAACTTTATTAGTTTCCTGCGATATCGAGGACAATTGTTCGCCTAATGGCATGTGCAGTTTCGATGGGGATAAGCAAAAGCACGTCTGTATTTGCTCGGCTGGTTATATCGGTAAGTTATCGATTTCATTGAATTCACGGATCTTGAATTCATAGATCATCGAATTTGATCGATTTCTTCAATACCAGGCGATGGATACAATTGTTATTCGGAAAACGATACAATAACCGAGGAACCACCGCAACCACAGTGTTTGATAGAAATGTGTTGGTGCCCACAAGGATGGAGATTCCAAGATGACAATTGCATCAAAGAAGAGGAGGGTTATACAACCGTTGACTATATTCGAGATTGTAAGTTTTACAATTAATCGAATCCTCTAATGAAATCACTTTGTTTCTTCGGATATGAATTTTTGGGATTTATACTGACTAAGGTAATTTTGATTAAATTCCTTCGCGAATTACGATTTATTTAATGCTAAAGTTTTCGGCATGGATGAACTAACTAGCATGTAGAATAAATTTGCTTGGAACTTGTTGAAATGTTATATTATTTTAAATTGATAATGTTTGCAGTTTTATATTGAATATATTAGTTAAATTGATGGGCTAGAATGTGTATGCACGTTTAATAGGATAGAAGAATTAGAAACTTTATCAATGAACCAAGTAACAAGTGTCTTGCACGAAGATTATTAGTAACGATCTATGGTCTCTACTGCATCGTACGTTTTAGTATCGGCACGTCCACTTCCGGAATGTTTCGAGGACGACTGCATATGTCCATGGGGATACGATTATGATCACCGAGACGAGATTTGCATTCCTATACCAGGATTCAACCACGATACAATGGGTCCAACTGGATTTCACCGTACGATCCGCTCCCGCTAGGCTTGAGCAAGTTTAATCCACTAACAAACATTTCAATTGCTTTTGCATATCATCCTTTTGATTTCTTTCGATGTTTTTTATTATTCTTTTTCATTATCGGTTTTTTTTATTTTTCTATTACAAACGTAGTCTAACTTCAGCGAGGATAAAATATTATCGTTTCTCGATCATTTTTTAATACTTTTTTTTTTTTTTCTTTTTTTATACGAGTATTATTCATCGTCGCTATCTGGCAAAAAGCAATTTGTCATAATTGCATCACGCTTGTCTCTAGCATCATGCAACGTCGTGAACAGATGTCATCCCTATGCTCAGTGTGTCTACGTACCGAACACAGGCGATTACGAGTGTCGTTGCAATCCTGGATACGAAGGTGACGGTATGGAATGCACGAAAACAGGTAAATTAAAACAATTAAAGCATCGTGTTTTCAATCAACGAATCGTATTCTACTTTAGAGATGAGTTCATATTTACGAGTTATATTACCCAAGGAATATACGTTGAGGTACGTCATAAAATTGATCATAAAAGGCAAAACAAACTTGTTATTTTCTGAACAGAGGTGTCCTGTCTGGAAGTCGACATATGCGATCCAAACGCTTCATGCCAACACGAGGAACCCATCGCAAAATGCGTCTGCAATCCTGGATACGAAGGCGACGGGACGACCTGCAGTCCTATTGGTGCATTGAGTCATCCATTTTTGTTTTTTTTTTGTTTTTTTTTCTTTTTGTTCTTTGAATCCTTTAAATTCAATTTTTCGCATATATAAAGTTCATCATCATTCTTTTTTCATTACTTCTTAATTTTAATAAAATTTTATATACATATATATACATATATATTATTTTGTTATTTTTTGAAATGATTAAAAACGATTAATACAATATTTTGTCTAATTTTCTAGACGAGTGCAACGACAATTCGGATTGTTTGAAGAACGAGAGATGCACGTATAATCCAACGAGTTCTCGCTACGAATGCACCTGCAATGTAGGTTTCAGCATGGTCGACGGTCAATGCGTAGTAGCGGATTGTTCGACGAATCCATCGCAATGCCACGTTAATGCTCAATGTGTTTCTACTGGTGACGGTGGCTATAAATGCGTTTGCATCGCTGGATATCACGGTGACGGTGTACGACAGTGCGTCGAAGATCACATTGGTTGTAATGTCGTATTCAATTGCGGAAGAAATGCAGCGTGTGGCTATAACCAGACATCGACGAATTACGTTTGCATCTGCCAACCGGTACGTTAAAAATCCATTTTTTTTAAACAAATATTTAAAGAGTATATTTTAATGGAACAGTATTAATTAATTATTTGCAATATATTGTATATAAAATAATTTTACCTTATTTATTTATCTACGAAAAATTCTGCCTAAAGGTATGCAAGTCTTCGTACTTTATCGATAATGTTATTTCAAACCGATAATGTTAGATACGTGATACAAGCTTTCATCATAAATCTTATATCAAAAATAAAATATTGCCTAAGGATTTTAAAAAAAAGTTAAAATCGTTGATGGATAAACATTCGCAAAATAATATTATCGGTAAAGTAACATTTATTAAGACGAAATACATATACGAAACATTTTTAATACGTAACATTTATTAAGACGATAAATAAATGCAATCAATTGTATTTTTAAAAACGATTAACATCGAAAGATCTCATATACAACTTGATTGTTTGTTTGTACAATTTTTTTTTGTTTTATTTAAAATTCTCCCAACAATTGCGTGAAGTTATTTTGATAAGGATACGTTGTTTTAAGTACGTCCATTCTTTCATCGAATTCTTCTTAAACGAAGAAATTTCGTCAATTTTTCGATCATTTAAAAAATGTTTTGAAGATGTAGCAAACATGTTTATACATTTGACTTTAGGGTTATTACGGTGATGGTTTTACCTGTCTACCTCAGTCATCCTGCAGACAAGATTCAAACCTTTGTTCTTCGGATGCAAGTTGTGTATCAGCTGGAGACAATAAATTTGCTTGCGTTTGCAATGATGGCTTTACCGGTGATGGTACTAATTGTCGACCGAGACCAAAACACGATGCAAATTTCCTTTTGGTAAATCAAGGAATGGCGACTTTAAGGATACCATTCGTACCGACTTCTGATAATTTAGGAAGTCCGATACACATAGCATACACACAAATGTCTATCGCATTGGACATCGATTGTCTCGGTGGAAGAGCTTATTCGAGTGATATCACTGGTATGAATGAATGATTTCTTTTTATTTTTGCAAAAAATGTTTGTTTGTTATAAAATTAGTAATAAAAACTCACTCGAGATCTATTCATTAACGATGCAATATAATTGTTTATCACATTTTCATTTCATTGTACGTGAATGTAATAATTATTTGTGTTTGTGTATACGATAAATATGATTGGATTAAAAGGAAAAAAAAAAAAAAAAAAAAGATTAGTATTAAAAATGTAAACTCGTCTACGATAAACTCGATTGAAAATGAATAATTCGATCGTAAAAGGGAAGCCAAATTGCTCTAGTGAGATTTGTGAGGGAGAAAATGAAACGCTAATGCAACGCAATTACATGTACGATGTAACTATTAATGTTTAAACAGTAGCCATTCAACGTGCGTTGCAATAAACAGTAGAAGGTAGGGAATAATTCAGAAGGGAACGATCCCGTCGGTTCAATTTCTTCTTCGAGGACGAACACCAAAGTAATTCGATTATTAAATTCGAGGGATTTTCGAGTGAACGACAATTACGATTCCACGTGATTTACGATTGACTTAGGTAAATTAAAAGGAGGGATTAACGAAAAATCTTCCTTAAGATAATTTAAAGATTTTTAAGACAATCAATTAATTAATTGATACATTTACATATAATTAAATGTATATATATATATATATATATATATATATATATATATATATGTATATATATATATATGTATATATATATATATATAGAATATAAATTATATTGAAATAGACGTATTTTCAATTAAATTTATTAATTTCGTGTTTCTTCATTTTTTTTATAACGACATAATGATTTTTGTGTTTAACAGGTAACAGAATACTTGAATTGACTTATAACGGTTCGATCGCCAATGTATTCATCGACAAGGTCAGCAGTCCCGAGGGACTGTCGATCGATTGGGTCTCAAGGAATATCTTTTGGACAGATTCAGGAAAAGCCACCGTTGAAGTGGCCAGTCTCGAAACGAAAAAACGTAAAGTCCTTGTCTCGGATGGATTGGTTAATCCTCGGGGAATCGCTGTGCATCCGTATCAGGGGTAAGAAAGAATACTGGAGAACTTATAAAGGAAACTATAGTGGGAGAGATAAATGGCTTGGTGTTGTCTCGTAGAACTATTTCTCAAAGGGGTTGTACATAAAAATTCGATTAATTATAAGAGAAAAATCCTTTTAAATTCGATACACAAGGTGAAACGTTTTAAATGAGAAATATTTTCTTTTTTTGTTTCGTCGTGCGATAATATTTATAAAGTAATATGCAGTTATCATTTGTCAGATAATAAATACATATATTGGGAAAAAAAATTTATTTTAACACATATATATTATATATATATATATATATATATATATATATATATATATATATGTATATATTGAAAATTAATCCTATTAAGCGTATAAAATATAAGTGTTTTCTATTGGAATTATTTTTAAAATAACTACAAACAATATTATGTAAAGTTCTTTTTGCAATTGACGTCTGAAATAATCTATTCTTTTTGTAGGTTGTTGAGTAACTCGAAAGATTTAGATGTTGACATTTAATTGTTTCACTTTTTGTGAATGGTGTACACAGTCATTCGTTTTCAACAAATAAGATCTTATAACAGAAATATTTTTTGTTAATCGCAATAACATTACCATCTTCTTCTTCTTTTCCTTTTTATTAGTAAAATATTTTGGTCCGATTGGAACCGTGCCTCACCGAAGTTAGAATGGGCTAATGAAGATGGCACAGGCAGAGCGATCTTCCTTCAAGGAGATTACGTTAAGTTACCAAATTCATTAAGTATCGATTGGGCTACTGATGAACTTTGTTGGGCCGATGCTGGAACTTTCACGATAAGTACATATCGTTTGGTTATTCCGTCAATTTCGTATTCGTGTTATATTTTATTATACCAGTAGCATAATAATTTGGAAATATTAAAAAAACTAATACGTATAGAATCGATGCATAATTCATTTTTTATTCTTTTCTTTTATTTTCTTTTTTTATTTTGTTCTTGGTTACAGCTTGCATCGAAATCGCTAACAAAGAAGTAAACGTGGTAGCGAAGGACCTGATTTATCCCTTCGGCTTGGCAATCTCTCAGAATCATTATTATTGGACCGATTGGAAAACGTAAGTATTCTTCTGAAAACAATAAAATCCTTTGTAATAATGTCTAAGATAAAGAAAAAGGAAAAAAATATCGATTTTCTTTCTTTTTCTTTTTTTTTTTACAGGCACAAGATCGAGCAGGCTTTGAAGAGCAACGAAGAAAGACAACCAGCTATATCGATCCCACCTGGTGGAAACGGCAAACTATATGGAATTGTGGTTGTTCCGGAGACGTGTCCCCAAGGTAGGACGATTTTCTTAAAAAAGAAGAAGATAAAAGAAAAAAAAAAAAAGAAAAGAAACGGATATAATTAGAATATTACGCGTATTAAGTATATGAGAACGACGCAATGGTGTGTCAGTCACGCAACAAGTGGCGTTCGAGCATTGACTTGAAACTGGTAAAAGTCGAGTTTTTATATTTTTTAAATAAAATCTATCGTAAATATTCTCTCGAGATATATATATATATATATATATATTATATTATATATAATTATATATATTATATATATATTATATATAATATATATAATTATAATATATATTATATATAATATATATAATTATAATATATATTATATATAATATATATAATATATATATATATTATATATATATTATATATATATAAGTATATATAATTTTTTTCTTTTCTTTTCTCGTTTATTCACATTTTACATTTTATTTTATTTACATTTTTTTTCTTTTCGCTATCATTCGTAAAATATTGTTTACTAAAATAATAATAATTCATTTTTATTTGAATATACACAGTATTTATATATATATATATATCTGTGTATGTATATTTATATGTATATTAATTAGAAAATTGCTGACATACCGTTAACGTTTCGTTTTCATTGATTAAGAAACAAATAACCGCTTGGAAGATAGGATAAGAAAATATAAGAAATAATAAAGATCTTTCTCATTAGTTATTAATTAATAAAAAATTTAATTACGTGTTCATAGTCACGAACGTCTGCCAATATGAAAATGGAATGTGCAATAAGGATCAGCTCTGTTTGCCCGATGGACAAGGAGGGAGGACGTGTGCTTGTGCTGATGATGCTACAGGACCTTGCACGGATACTAATTATTCTTCGTAGTAGTATTCTCGAGAGAAAAAGGAAGAGCGAGAGAGCGAGAGGACGAGAGAGCGAGCGAGCGAGAGAGTGAGTGAGCGAGAGGGCGAGAGATTGGGAAAGTGAAAGAGAAGGATAGAGAGAGAAGAAAAAGAAGAAGAAAAAGCGAGAGAGGGAATACTAATGTTCGACAGTAACGAAGCTATGATAGCATCTCGATGGAGTTTGCGAGAGAAAAAAGACGTTTCAGAGATAAAAAAAAGGAAGAAAGAGAGAGCGGGAGAGAGAGAGAGAGAAAGAGAGAGAGAGAGAGAGAGAGAAAGAAAGAGATAGAGAGAGAGAGAGAGAGATAGTAGACGTTCAAAGTATCTATTTTACTATTAGATAGTGTGTAAATTATAAAACATTATTTTTAATATTAATTAGACTTATTATCATTCGACATACTTGAAGTAACATACTCTCTTTTACTTTATTTTTCTCTTTTTTTCTTTTTATTTGTTTTCCTTTTCTTTTCCCCTTTCCTTTTTTTCTTTTTTTTTCTTTTTTTTTTCTTTTTTTAATTTTTAATTAACGTTAGAACGCAGTTTATGAATGAAGCTATATTTGTCAAGGCGCGTTATTTAATAAAATTGAAAAGATACGACAAATCGTATTTAATGTTTTCTTTCATGTCTTCATTCAAAGAATCACAGGGGTGCACGCTGATATTTTTTATATAACATATTTTTTATTTAGAAAGATTAGGTCCACTTTTTGGAACGAAATACCCAGCTGTAATTATCGCAGTACCGAAAACGTAGTAAATTACTTGATAATAGGTTTAATCGTGATGCACAGGTAACACTGTTGAATGAAAATATTTAATGATGGAATCAATTAAAAAATGGTATTTATAAAAATTCGACATTGACGATAGGAATGCTTATGCTTATGCATGCGATAGATTATTTGTTTAATACGGTTTATCCAGATAAATACATTAAAACAACATACGGCTTAAAAATATTTATTCTAAAATTATATTTGCAACGTGAGATATCGTAATTTATAAAAATACTACTATACAGTATGCTTTTATAATGAGAAGCAGCCAGTTATGAAGATAAACGTCGAGGGAATAGCACGTTAGTTTGCTACAGTAAATGGTTCCATTCGCGTGTTATTTTTTATGCAAAGTGAAAATCATGCAAAATGAAAGACGACTTTTAAATAAAATATCTGAGATGTATGTATATTTCTTTAATGTATATACCGAGTCAAATTATTTAAGATTGCCGATTTGAAAATATTTCAATTAGTTTTGATGATATCGATAAATTTATAAAAAAAGAAAAAAGAAAAAGAAACGAAAGTTGATATATTGTTTATGCAATAGATTAAAAAACAGATTAATATTGTTTTAAGAGATTTACTATAACTATTCTTTTATACGACTTAATATAATTGATAACGACGATACGTTTTTTTTCGAAGTCTATCATTGGGGATTACAAGACATGTTAAATACAAATTGATGTTACTTTTTGAATACAAAATCGAGAACAATCATATGTCTTTTATAATCAATAAATGGTATTTAAATTATATTTTTATTCGCAGTGAATATAATCATACAAATTTAAAACGTTTGAAGTATTCATTGATCCTTATTAATTTGACATATTCAAGAGAAAATTATGTTACTTTCAAGGAAAGGACGAATGATCCTCACGAATATAAATTTTAGGTAACAGTTTTGATCTCTGCTATATCAGTTACATACTTTGAATAAAAGATTTTTTTTCTATCTTCTTTTTTTCAAAAATTATTATCATAAAAATTAAATATCATAAAAATAAACGATATCATGAAAAATAATTGAGATGTTATCATGTTAAATTTTACGTGACTGGTATATATACACAGACACATCGTTCGTCCTCGGATATTAATTAACGAGCTTCTTTTTAGTAGACGACGACATTAAATTGTCTCTGTATAAAAACGAGGAGGAAAAAGAGTGAGAGAGAGCTTCATATCATAAATCGTTCGATTATGTGATATGAGAAATAGAGGGTTAAATATAAGGAAAGAAGGTACGAACATAGAGATAAGATAGTGACCTCGGAGACAGTGATTACGGATCTCAAGGCTACTCTACGAAATTTTTCCTGCGAGTAAGAGAAAAGGTTATTAAAAACGTGCCTCCTGGGAGTTCTCTTTGTTCGCGTTATAAAAATTATATTTGTTCGAGGCAATAAAAACGTGAAAGGAGAGTTGTTTTGCAAAGCAATAAAAAATCTTTAGTTTTCTTATCTCGTCGATCAAAGAAATTGGACGTTTGTTTGTAGTATTTAAAACTAAATTATTTTTGTTACCTTCAAAATTTTATAATCTCTAAGAAATTTGAAAGGAAGAAGAATATTTGTATCAAATTAAAATCGATACTATGACAAGTCCTAGCATTTAATCGCGTATTTATCATTAGGTATTTAATCACGCCATCGTCATCAAATATACACACGTTGCTCTCCTTTGAATCGAATTTGTCGATACGAAATGGCTTTAACTCACGTGACTGTTAATACTATATTAATCTAACTTAATTAATCCCTTTGAAAAGACTAAAGATAGCTAATCATAAGGGAAAGAGAAAGAGAGAAAGAGAGAAAGAGAGAGAAAAAGAGAGAGAAAGCTTCTAACCGATTTGTGTCTGTTAATTAGTTATACCGAATGTTTGATGAATGTGGAATGATGAAAATTTACGTAATTTGATTGGAATGTTATTAATCGAATAAATTAACTTTTTACTATCTAAGATATAAACAATGCAATTAATCTTGTCTTACATTGCAATGTTGATATAATCGAATAAATATTAAAGTTTCAAATATTACTGATTTCGAATATTATTAATATTATTAATTGATAAGAAAAAATTAGAAAATAAGATATTCTTTTATCGTTCGAATGCATCGTCGAATTAATCGAACCAATATAATCTATAATACGATGAAATATGAATAAGCTCATTATTATCCAATATTTCAATGATTACATTATAACATATAATAGTAAAATAATAATTAAGAAATTTTATAAGGAACGATGATTGAAGCTTTTATAGATATTAAAAAGTAATTGGAAGTATCGAGATGTAAACGGGTCTCCATGTGTATCCGTGATTCGTCTCCGATTTTCAATTTGCGTGGCGGGTCCAGTTTCAGCCATTCGCTAAAAGGAGAGCAAATGAACGTACGAATTGAAAAACGTCGGCATTCCGAGCATGTCATTGACGTGCATTCGATCGTTTCGTCGTTGAGAGAGAAAGATAGTGTGAAAGATAGAAAGAGAAAAAGAGACAAAGAGAGACAAAGAGAGAGAAAGAGAGAGAGAGAGAGAGAGAAAGAGAGAGAAAGAGAGAATATCCTCTTGGCTTTCTCACTTCGATCCTAACGAATGGTATTGCCTTTCCTCTTCTTTTACCCCTTTCCTACTTCGTGATTATTTCCAACGAATTTCGCGTCTAGTCGGAGCCATTGTTTTCGATTAAAAGAGCGTTCATAAGCGCAAAGAATTAAAATGCTTTTCACGCAGACGAATTTACGTAATCACTGAACGTGCTTTCGATTGTCGTTACTGAAACTTTTTGAATTATGCTAAAATGAAAATGTGTAAAATATCATCGTAATGTATAGCCATGTTAGTATTCACGTTGACGATTTTCATAATTTTATTTTTCTAAACGTTCGTTAATAACTTTTCGTATATTTGACTGTATCCCATTGGGATACAAAAAGTTTTAACAGTGATTTCTTCATAGAAGGTGCAAAGCGTTGCTTCGTTAAAATTTCTCGTTTAGTTGAATCTCTGATAGAAATTCTGTACAAATTCGAAACTGGTCAACTTATCTGTAGCATACATAGATATATCGTAGAACACAGGTGAGATGTAAAGTAGAAATTCGGGGAATTCGTTGTTTCGGAATTTGACCATTAATTCGACATTCCCTATGGCTCTACGATACTAAATTTTCGTTAAAATCATTGTATTAATTGCTATTGGTCGCGTAATTCATTGTAAATTCAATTCAAGACAATTTAGAATACGAACGAGATCAACTCGTGACTATGGTATTGCCTAATTATACTCAAAAGTGAAAGTATTTTTTCTTTCGGCGGATTATATAATCGAATTAGCATAGATGAATGAATGGAAGTAATTTTCGAGATATATTTGATGGTTTAACACAGAAAGAAAGAAGATCTTTTCTATAAAAATCTGAAGTATCGTTTTATCTGTTGAAAAAAAAAAAGAAAAGAAAAGAAAAGAAAAGAAAAGAACAGGAAAGAAAAAAAAATCGTTTCAAGGGAAGAAGCACGAAAAAGATATAAATAAAGAGCTCGTCAGGTCCATAATCGGACGATCAAAAAAGTCTCTTCAAGTCTTTCGCTCTTATGACGGCAGACTACTGACTGTTCGTGACTACTTCGCTCGTTCCTTGTATGCCTGCGATAGGACTTGATTGCGAGAGGAGTATGCGAAACTAGAAAGAGAGAGAGAGAGAAAGAGAGAGAGAGAGAGAGAAAGAGAGAAAGATAGAAAGAGAAAAAGAAAGAGAAAGAGAGAAATAAAATAAACGAGATAGAAAGATAGATGGAGAAAAAGAAAGACAAATAGAGTGAGAGAAAGAGAAAGAGAGAGAGAGAGAGAGAGAGAGAGAGAGAAATAGATAAAGAAAGTGAAAGAGAAATATATAGAGAGAAAGAGAGAGGGAAATAAATGGAAAGAGAGAAATAGGAAACGAGAAAGAGAGAAAGAGAGAGAGAGAGAGACAAATAGGGTAGAGTAAGTCTAGGGATGTATAGCACTAGAAAGAGATGGAGAGAGGGGGTTGAGTGAGTGAGAGAGAGAGAAGGGGGATGAGAGGAAAGCAGTAGTCGGTAGTCAGTCGGCGGGCGAACACCGCGTGCGACGCATCGGATTCGTTCTTACATCGCGTTTTCGCCCTTCGTAGATCTTTGACAACGTGATCTTTGCGTTCCAACAGAGTGCAACACGTGTGATATTACATTTCTTTCTCTCTCGAAGTGAAGGAAGTGCGAATACGAATGACGATAATTCGAAGGCACGTTTTGTCATTGATTTATTTTTCTTCTTCTCTTCTCTTTTTCTTTTTCTTTTTCTTTTTATTTTTCATATTCATTTTATTTCTCTTCGTAGATCGACGTTCGAATTGAATTGAAAAGGTGTCCCTTGGTCCGATTTTTTGAATGAAATAATTCTTATCTTTCGTATTTAAATGAATTCTATCGTTTCGATATCCTTGTCTCTCATTTTCTTATCTCGCCTTAAAAAGAGCGTATAATAATATTGCGTGTCGGAGGAACAAGCATGCACCGGTCTAAGCGTAACTCGCGATAGAACCTCGTTCGTGGCAGCGATCTGGACCGATGCACACCGGAGACAAAAATATCTTAGAAAAATCTCGGCGCTGGGCCAAGTAGCCTCGAGGAGGAGGCACACTCCTTGCTATAAGCGAGTCTTTGATAAGATTATTTAGAGGGGGACTTTTGCTATCTTCAACGGGTAGAATGTGAAAGGTGATAGATAACAAAGAAAGGAAAAAGTTGTCAATAAATAGAGAAGGATGGATATTGAAAACATACAGACAAAAGTGTATTAGCAATTTACGATACT